CTTGGTATATTTAAAGTCAGAATGTGGTAAACTCTTGGATATTGATTTGAATACTATAAAGGTTGCTATGAGGCATCTTAATAGTTTTCACTTTCCTCAAGTGCCACAGTGTAGGCTGTTGGCACTGGCAGCCAGAGCTCTGAGGTGTAAACAAGGCTGAGCCTTTCCTTTTTGGGAGTAAACAGGCACAGACCACCAGCAGTTCCTTACATTTCTATTATTTCTCTTCTCCTTTCTTTAATAAGGATCGCTCTGGCTCAGCAGGTTCACAGGCCACTGCTTCTTGTGTCTCTGTAGAATGTGGACATTGCTCTGACCATATAAAATAGTACAGTACTGTACAATAGCTTTGCTTTGGGACTGTTTTCTGCCTCTGCTGCTTAACTGCTTGGCTTGGGTGTTCCATCTACACATTTTAGAGCCCTGATTGCAGGGTATTTAATGATGCCCTGCCATCACTGGCTCTGGCAGAAACAAGGTTGAGCACGATGCCTGAGTCAGGTAAGCATTATCCCTGAGTATGACTGCAGAACAAATCCAGAGAGCAGTACAGTGTTGGTCTGGAAACCTAGTCCAAAGGCAGAAATACTAAGTTTTTTATCTGCTGTTCCCCAGCTTTATTTCAAAGCTGTTCTTCCTCAGTTTATGATTTTAAAGCAGTTCACTCTTTTGCCTAATCAATGCCTAATACTTGTTAATGCCTCATACTAATGGCAGAGGCATTTTGTGGATATCTATATTTGCTTTCAGTGCACAGTAAATACTCCTGAGATGTGTGCTGTCAGCTGATGCAGAGAATGAATCCTGCTGTAAACCAGCCTTTGTTCCAGCTGGGAGCTTGATTTCTTTGAACTTGGGGTCCCCATATAGACAGGTTTTGGTTGGTGTCATGACCCTCCATTTCAAAGCTGGTGTTCTATAAGACATTGGTAAGTGGTGAGCAAACCAGCTCAATTCTCTTGATGCTGCTGAAAGTGCAATTGGGCCAATGCTTGGCTCAATCCTGCATTTCAGAACCTGAACATCGTGTGCTTGAGATGTGCTGCATAAACTTGAATTCTGTTGTCTAGTGGAAAAGAGCCTGTGCTGCTGCTGCTGCTGCTGCTGCTGCTGCTGTGCCTTAGCCAGCCTGAAGTGACAGAAGAACCACCTTTGATAGCTGGAAGAAGCTGAAGTCATTAAACAAGCTCTATCTTTGAAGCAAGGGAGTTCTGTTCCTCTTATCTGTTTTGCTGATGTTGTGTCCAAGGTTTCTTTTGCTGTTTTGACTGAGCCTGAAAGTTCCAAAAGCACAGAACGCTTTCTGAAGCAGTTCCTGCCCCTGGCTGAAAATGCAGTGAAGTTCATTAGCCTGGAAGTGCTGGCTGAGACCCTGCTGGGGGAAGGGGAGCTGCTGTTGTATTTTTTGTATCCCTTGTGCCATTTTGGACTTGAGCAGTATTTATTTTTAGTACATTTAAACAGTGCAGAAGGAAGGGGCAGTTGTAATATGGCATATTTACATCATGCTGTCAGTTCCTGGCAGCTCCCTTGCCTGTCAGAGAACAGAACTGGTCCATTAAGGATGTGAGTGCTACTTATGCCCACGAGTGGTGAAACATCGTCTCCAGGGTGGGAAGGCCTCCCCATGCCAGCAGGTTCATTTGTTTTTCTAAGGTGGAGTATGGGGAATTTTTTTTCATGTCACAGGGACAGGAATGGGCCATTCTACCTCCCACTTTTTCCTTCTTCTCCTCTACTCTGGAAAAAGAGAGGCGAAGTCTCTACGTGAGATCAGCATGTGCTGGTTTTTCCCCTCATGTCACGCTGAAGTTCTCTGCCCCTTTATAAAAATAAAAATCTATAAATAAAAAAGAACAAATGCTGAGGGGGACAAACTGGACCCACAGTTATGTGCATGTAGTCACTCGTCGAAGTGTGCCTAGCCCCATTCCTCCCAGGCTTCGTGCATTCCCTGTTTCTTATGCTTCAGCTTCTCAGGATGGGAAACATGCACAAACAGTCCTGGCTGGAGCTTTTTTTGCCCTACCATAACATAATATTAATTGAGCTTAGGCTGAAATGTTGGGCTCATCTGCTGTTCAGTTAGCTCATGCTCCATTTCTGTATATTCTCTCCCACTTTGGAGGGAAAATAAAATTGCAGTGAGTTTTGCTGCCACACTTTAATGTCACAGTAATACCTTTCTCCTGGAATTAAGCAGTATTTAGCTCTGATCTCTCCTGTGTGACTCTGTTTGCCTCAATCACAGGCACCCTGTGATTTCCCTTTCTTGGAAACTGCCCTGTCTCAGCATGTGGGTAGGAGGCCATGTAAATAAATACCAACCACTTCTTAGCCTTCAGTAGGCATTTCCTTTTTCCTGGTGGTGCAGAAGAAACACTTTCTCACAGTTTGGCATCAAACATTTATATAACTTTCCCTCTTGTAGAATTTTTGTTTAGACAGTCAGATTCTTGGTATAGCTTTTTCATCAGTTTCTATTTTTATTCATCTGTGGTTGCTTGGTTTGTCAGTAAATAGTGTCTATCAGAAGAAACATCTCATCAGAAACTTCTAAAATTTTCAGTAATTGAATAGTAAATCATGATAAGTCTGTTCTGTAATACTGAAAGATAAGTTTTAAAGAAAAAAATTAAATATCTTGGAGTTTTTTCCTTAGCTCTGGTGGAATATATCTGCCCAAATGGAATATTTCTGCCCAAAAGATTTTGTATGTCCTGCCTTAAGTTTTTGACATAGAATACAAAGTATCTTACATTGCCTTGCAGTCCAGCTTTCAGCTGAAAAAGACAATATTTGCTTTTGATAAAAGGTTTAATATATGCTACAGTATTTTTCAAGTGTGTGTCCGTTTGTCATAGCAGCAGAGATAATACATTGTTATCCTTTTATTTACTATACTAGTTAGGACATAAATTTATAATAGCAAAAGAGATCATATCAATACAAATCAGTATTAGAGGATATGTACTTCTAATTTGCATGCATGCATATTTATAAGATCATCATTTAGTGTTGTTTACAGTTTTTTAAATTGATAAATTATGAATTTAAATGGCTTAGTTTTATTTGTCTCAGTGGTAATTCTCACTGAGTGGGTGGTAGCATACAGTTCCTGCTGGGAGAGCCCCAGGGCTTCAGACCATAGAGATTCTGGAAGCAGAAAATATCACAGCCTGAGCTGTGATAAACAGCTACAGAGTGGCACGGAGCAAGACTCCTCCGTGGGAGCAGCTGTTAGGTGAGGGAGTGAAGAATATACCTATGTATCTTCCTTTGTGAGGAATAATTTCTAGGGTAATATGGCATATTTATGTTAAGTTTCAACATCCATCAGATGCTTTTTATGTGATACACAGAAATTGATAACCTTTGTATTCAACAGCAAGAGAAACTGTGCTTTTCCAGAAGGGTTTTTGAAATCTGCTTTTTCCTCTCCTGAGGCCTGCTAGGAGGCTGTCTAGGAAAGTGAGCCTTTGTTGGCCATGTCATGGTATTTTTATAGTTTCACTCTTAGGGCCTTTCTCATCCAGCTGAGTTTTGCAATCTGCTGAAGCTCAGCCAAGATGAATTGCATCTGCCCTCACAGAACACACGTTCAACCCAGCCAGGACATCTTCCAGTTCTGTGCACTGCAAGTTGCTTGGTGTATTCTGGGAAACACTCACAGAGAAGACTGAGTCCTAGTTTGGTTTGTCCCTTTGTCCTGTTTCCTGGCATACAATAAACTGTTGTCCCATGCATATTTCTTCCTGAGCCAACCCCCATGAGTGATGTTCTAGCCCAGAATACTTCAGGAAGTGCAGTGGTGCTGGACTTCAGAGCTGGCTCTGGTGGTGGCTGGGCAGAGGCCAGTCAGCCTTGCTTCATGCTGCCTGACAAGGGACTGTGAAGGAATCTAAGCTCTCTAACTTTGGTGATTTATTGAAGTTCTGTAGGGTCATTGGGTAGCCAAAGTCATGAAAACCCCATTTAGCATCCACTGGAAGAATGCCAGGGCATAAAGCCTCTCTTCACTCCATTGCTGCCATAGTGGCACCAGCCTTAACAGTACCTTGATGGCTTTTAGAAGCTGTTAAACTGTGCTGTTAGTAACCCTGTGAGCAGTGCTGTCGTGAGATGCAAGCCCAGAGTGAGAGCTTTGAGGATCACCTCTTGTCTTTGGATCCTTCTATTTAACGTCAGGTGTGTTTGCAGAGCAAACTGGAGAGGTTAGCTTCAGCTTACCCAGCAGTGCAAGCACTTAAAGAAGTTTAACACAATGAAAACAGCTAATAATCTCAGGGTTCTTTTTGTTCTGACATAAGAAATTACCTTGGGAACATTGCTAGTTCTTAATTGGAAGTGAAGGAAGAAACCTGAAAAAGGTGAAATTGCAGTGATTGTGCTGTAAATGAGGGCTGTGATGAAATCGCAAAGGATTTGGCTACAGCAAGAGTGAATAACTCATTCCTGTTTGCAGAAATAAACTGGTTAGATTTGGGTCTGATTTTGTTTGTATGTGGTATTACTTTGATTGATTTGTATGGGTTTTGTATTTTTCACTGGCAGAATGAAAGTTTATGTGTGGGTTTATTGAATGCCATGCTCAAATAATTAATAATAGCAGCAAAGTAGAGCTTATGTCACTTATATCACCAGTTACTTTTCTTGCTGTGCAAACATAGGTTTTTTTTGATCAGACACTTTTATTTTAGTGAAGTCTGACCCTTGCCTTTTTAGAATTCAGAGGAATGAAAAATAACAAATGTTATGTTTATGTGTTTGAGGTGAACTTTTTTTATTAGGAGATGTTTTAAAAGGGTCAGTGAAAAACAGAACTGAAACTGAGGTTTCATTTCTCTTGCAGGTAGGTCTATGAAAGATAAGCAGACATTTAAATTTGGGTATTTCCTTATGATAACAAATGTTCCAAGGTCATTACCAATTCAACAGATCTTGCTGACATCAGGCTTCTTCTCACACAGTGGTGTTTCGTTTTTTTTTTTTTTTCCTAGGAAAAAGAGAAGAAGTACATGCTGCCTTTGGACAACTTGAAAGTGCGAGATGTTGAAAAGAGCTTCATGTCCAGCAAACACATCTTTGCATTGTTTAACACAGAGCAGAGGTAAGAAAATGTGCTATTCTGCAGATACTTCTTTCAAATAGTATCTAGCTGAGCATTTTAATAACTGTGAGTGCAGTTCTGCTGTTTCCACCATGTTGAGTACACAAGGTCTTGATATTCTTGATTTATCTGCTGCTTGGCTGTTGCATAACCATGGGATGAGAGGTTGGTGTCCTCCAAGCCACTCGTGGGGTGAAACAGCTCCATGATGAGTCAGCCAGTCCTTCCTTATGGCTGAATAATCATCTCCTGATCCTATTTTTGTTTTGTTTGGCAGTCACCTAGGCTTACCAAAACATTCATGACTTCTGTACCTTGTGACCAGATTCAACTGGTGTAAATCACAAAAGCGTCATTGCTTTTCACTTTCTCCAGTGGAAAATCTTGCCTGTCACTAACCTTGGGACTCATTTGATTGTTTGTTTGTGTTTAGACACTGCTAAATGGAGAAAAATTAGATTCCTCTATTTCTTGAATTAGTAAAATCTTTGCCTTTTAGTTTTTGCCCCACACTTTCCCTCTCAGACTCTTCTCTGTTTTAAGTGGTGCGGGTGCTCTATGGAAGCTAGTCTTGAAGCACAGCCAGCTCAGTTTCCTTAAATGTTAAAAAAAGACATAAAAGTGACGTGTAATTTTTATTTTTTTAAATGACAAGGAGAGTTGCAGTTGGAGCTGTCTCAGGGGAATTGCATTTTAGCAGATAAGGGGCAATGTCTGTAAGTTTTTTTTCAGGCAAATGTAGCATGGATAGATATCCTTGTTTCCCTCTTCTGCTAAATTCCTTCACACCTAATTGTCCCTCACATCTCTAAAGCTTGGCATTGCCTTCAGATATTCAAAAGGAGGAGGGCTGGATGTGGCTCTCTGCAGAGGCAGCTGTCTCTGCTCCCAGTCCGGCCAGACACTGTGGCCAGAATTTTAGAAGCAAGGAGTGCCCCTCCCTCCTGCAAAGCAAAAGCAAAGCATGGGATTTCTGGGCTGTCAGGTTTCTGCTGACCCCAGGAATGTGAGGACACAATGTCAGTCTCAGCCTGAACCAGCCCAGGAAGGCTCTGCCTGTGTCTGCTGCCACCTCAGCCAGCCTGCAGGGTCTGCCAGGAGATGCCCTTTGAAAGCATGTCACACACATACTAGCTGGGAATAACATTTCAAATGCTTGACCACTTGTGTTTCTGGAGCACAGAAAAAAGCTTTGAAAAGCTTTTCATGTTCTTAAAAACAGAAATGATCTTTGGATGCTGGAAATGAATGTAATTCTGATGATTCTGGCTGTAGATATGTGTGGATCCATCAAGAAAGGTAAATTTGTCCTGGTGGCTTGATAGCAGCTGGACATATTAGGTTACTTCAATGAGGAATTTGTTAATTTAACTCATTGTTTCTCCTTTGGTTCAACTAATGGCTTTGAATATTATCATCATAATAAATATTAATCACTGAACTGCTGTGAAAATCCAAGAGAAGCATTTCCATTGGCAAGTTTGGGATTTTTTTAGGTGGTATATAGCTGGACATTCACATTTTCCCTTCATCTTCATCCATACTAGACATCAAGGATTTCAAAATCAGATGTCTAAAGTGTTTGCCGTGTCTGTAATAGCCCTGCCTCTTTGGGCTCTGAGTAGATCCTGCAGCCTCTGCAAGCTGCTCTAAAAACATCCTTACATGCACATGGGCATGTTAAGACATGACAGCACAGCAGTAAGACCACAAAATACCTTTGCCTTGGCAGAGGCAGATCATGGAGTCAGTCTTGTAGCTTTAAGGGAAGCAGAAGTTGTTTTTGAAGAAATATTTATTGAATTCTAATTAAAACAGCAATTTCTCTGTTACTGTAAAACAGCTGATTTTTGATATTTCTAAAAATCTGCCTCCTGGCACAAATTGATCAAAACAAGATTAGTATCACTTTCCACTGAATCATGAATTGATAGATGTGTCAGCAAAAACAGGAATATTGGTTCTCGAGTAGTTTGATCTGGCTGGGGATGTTCCCTATCCCACATTCTTAAGGAAATTGAAAGAGGGAATTGATAAAGATACATTGAAATAAGAATTCTTATTGTTGGTTTACCTTGTGGTAATCTGTTGAATCCTGGTTTCTGATCTCTGTGTATGTATGTCTTGCTTTTCAAAGATCGTGTAAAAAATTTACTTAGTTTCTGGCTGGCTTTTTTTTTGTTGGGAGCTGGTGGAGTGGTTGCTTTTTTTAATTAAAAAAACCTTAGCAACTGAGAAATAAATCAGCTTTCGAAGTCTGCCCACTGAGGGTTCTGGTTATGGAACCATTTTGCTATTTAAGATGTAGAGCATTAAAGAACAAAGGCAAAATCATCTGTTCCAGCTTCCATGATAGCATGGAGATTATTCTGTATCTCTTTTCCGCTCCCCCATAATCTGCAGCATGTTTTTCCTTGACTATGAAATCTTTCTTAATGTTCAATTAAATTATTTTAATTTTCAAACAAAAACCCTTTAGGAGAAGAATTTTAATAAGCTTGTTCTCTTTTTCATTCCCAGCCCCTCACTGCATAGGTATTTGCTCCAGCCATATGTTTCTGATACTGTACATTTCAATAGTTTCCTGGATTATGCACTGCATTTTTTCCATTTATGAAAACCTTTCCAGCTCTGAAATATAGTTACCAGGAAAATACTCATTTCACTGCATAGAAGGAAAAACCATCTTGAGTTAGCTGAGACTGGGGGGTAGATGGAGAAGGAAACTAACAGTATCTGTCATTTTGATTTACTGCAGAAGTCAACAGTTCTCTGACAGGAATCAAATGTGACTTGGTAATGTAGAGTAAATGGAGACTGTGACGATTGATTTCACAGTGAAGATAAATTCTCATGAAATGAACATAATTGTGTGTTTATGAAAAGGCTGCGTTGTGAAATAATTAAATTATTTTCGTGTTGCTTTCTAATTAAATCTTTAAAAAAACAACAAAAAAATGGTGAGTGTGGGAAAAGGAAAACTTTGCCTGAAATAGTTACAGTATTACTTAACAGGGAGGTTAGGTTTGTTTTTATGCAAAGTAAGTCACACATTTAAAGTTTTTGAATGGGCCATCTACTTAATTTATAGACACTCTGGAAGACCTTTGCAATGGACTCCTCTAGTTTCCTTACCTTAGGAGCAGTAGATATTAGACCAAAGTGAATTCGAGTGAGTGCCCTGTGGTTCCTGGATCATTTTGGCTGCATCCATCTGCCCGAGCCTGCCTTTAGTAACTGAAGTTGAGCTGTGGGTTCAAGTAGTGTGTGTCTAACCTAAAGCCATCAAGTGAGTGCTAGTCTGTGTTCATCTTCTCCACAGGAAACTCGTGGCAAGTCTGGTTTTTTTTAGACTGGAAAAAGAGATCAAGTGTATTGACTATTTTAAAATAATTATGCTATAGAAAAAGAAAGAATGTTTGCAGTACTGCTGTAGAGCTTACTGTGAAGTTGTGTAGATGTAACCACTGACTTTCTAGGCAGAGCTGAGAATGGAGAAGAGAGGATTTTGTCAGCATCTCAGCTCACATTCAGTAGATTAACCTGTCATGTTCTCATTGCTGAGTGGGTAAAACTCTTGTTCAGAGCTCAAGAACACAGAAAACAAATTCTGTCCATCTCAGAAAGTTTACTGTCCTTACAGGATTTAATTCCAAATACTTGATTTATTCTCCATGTATTTCCATGTATTTCTCATAAAAATTATTCACTTCTTAGTGCTTTTTCTGTTACCCAAGTGCTATAGCCTGGGACAAGAACTGTAGTCTTATATGGGTCTCCCTTAAGGATCGGTGCAAGTCTTACCTCTCTGTCTCACCTGAGAGGGGCAAACAGTCTTTGATCTTGTCCTTTTGATCCATATGGTACTATTTTCACAGATTGTCGGTTGTTCTAAAGTAATCTCTTGCCTTTGCAGTAACCTAATTATACTTTTTTCCTGATTTACTGGTCAATAAATTGTTAAATTACTGTATTACACCTCAATTTATATACTACTTCCCTTTTAATTGAAGAAATGATGCTGAGTTAAAAAACCTGTCTTCATTTGCTAGAAGCAGAGAAAAATCTTCTTTCCACCTCTTCTCCAACTCTGAAGAGATGAATTCTCTTTTAGAGGAGCAGGGATTCTACTAGGTACAGGTTTTGGTGGTTATAAATGGGAGTAGGCTGAAGTGTTTGTTAAGTTGGTGAATTTTCAAGCCTTCTCTACCAATAGTGGGAGTAGCAACCACAGAGTGAGGAGGGGTTACCCGGTGGAGAGTCCCTGATCAGCAGCCTTCCTCTGCTCCTCTTCAGACTCACTCCTTTCCTTGGAGCCAGACAAGCAGAACCCATGTGTGAAATTCTGCCTTCCTTGCAGAGGAAGTGGCCACCAGTACTTGTGTCTTTTCCTTTCCTGCCCAACCAGTGGAGGCTGGCCTAGAAGAGAGGCTAGACAGAGTTAAAGAATAAAGTAGGGATTTATTAGGAGGCCTCAATGGATCCACCTTGGGTAGCACAAGAGCCCAGCCAGGGCTGCACCCAAGATGAACCAAAATGGTCACGACCGGTCACAAGGTCTCTCACTTTTATCAGTTCTGCTCCATTTGCATATTGGAGTTCATTGTCCAATGACAGCTCCAGCCCATGAAGTCCCATCCTTGTTTTTCTCTCTTCAGCCCACGGTGTTTGTGCTCTTGGGCTGAGATTTGGATCACTGGTCCTTGGTCCCCAGCTGGAGAAGGAATTGTTTTGTCTCCCTACTCTGTGCAGAGAGCTCACCATCCCCTAATGTGAAGCCCAGACCCACACACTAAAGCAGCACAGAATCTGAAAAATATAAAAGTTAAAATCTGAGGCCTCACCAGGACCCAGATGAAACTGAGTAGTGGTGTTGCTTTCCTCACCCCTGTGGTTCAGTGTGATACAGGGGTGTGAGGAGGAGTGCAAAGCACAGAACTGTTCCTTTTGCTTTCACAAGAGCGGGTTCCTGAGAGCAAAATGCCCCTCAGGAATCATGA